GGGGCCAAATTGGCCCATAAAAGTAGAGCTAAAATAGCTCATTTCCTCGAGGGCTGATTTAGCCCCAAAAATAGGGGCTGTATTTTACCTTGCGTTTCAGCCCCATTTTTAGGGCTGATTCGGCTCTTTTCGATTTACAGTGTATCAAGGCCTACCTATGTTTAAAATATGAGCCGAATCGATTTTTCGAGCTTTGCCACGAATGTCTGATTCTTACCGACATTGCCTCTTAATTCAATCAAATCAGTAAAACTTCACAAATGAAGGGTAACATTTATTGGTTGTTTTCTCTTAGCTGTATCTTGACTTTGATACGCTGCAAAATTCGCAAGTGTAAACGAGCCTTACGGCCAAAGAAACTACGAAAAACAATTTACGCAGCTTAGTGCCTCTAGTATTGATTAGTTAACCATTAACGAATCTTTTTACTCCTACGAAGAATGTGTGAGAGGGCCTACGGCCTAGAAAGAGAAAGTGGTCTGGGACCGATGAGTGTGTGTGTCGGGGTGTGTATTTGTAGTTTAGTCGACTGTCTTACATGTAGTTGTTGTCAGAAATAAAGTAAAATAAAAGCACCTGTCTTTGGCTTACAAAATTGGCGACCACGAAGGGACATTCTATTATGGCTGCCGAGGATGTACAAATGGACGTTCAAGCACATGTTTACGGCTCGAGTTGGGAGCATTTGAAAGTAATCGCCGAGCACTTCAAAGTCGACCACGAGGGAGAGCGAAAGATGGAGATTGCCAAGAAAGTTTGTGAGAGTTTGCAGGCAAAACTGGAAGAGGGTCTAGAGGAAAACGAAGTCATTCCCTATCTACAGGAATTGAAGCTTAAGTTGAAGATAAAGCCAAGTATTGACGGTGAAAGTGAAACCAAGCCACCAAAGAGCCAAATCAAAAACAGTCCTGTCGATAATTTATTGTCAACAAGTGCTTTCAGGCGACAGTTTAAGATCAATTGCGAACCAGAACAAAAGGAAAAATTAAGCTACACGTCTCTGGTAAGGCAAATACAAGCGGCTATTTCTCAAGGATACACAGAAATGGAAATAGTTGATGGAATTATCCGTGCAATCACCCCAGGCATGATTCTTCGTCGCTATCTTGAAACCTACGAAGAACTGACACTTGATCGCTTAAAAAAGTCCTACGACGTCACTACGGCGTCAAAAATACGACCGAACTGTACCAAAGTCTAGCATCGGCCTCACAAGACCCGAAGGAAAATCCACAAGCGTTTTTAATGAGAGCTTTGGATTTAAGACAACAGATTCTGTTCGCTTGCTACGAAGGGGGAGGAGATAACAGCACCTTGAAATACGATCCGGCACATGTTCAAAGTTT